CCTCATGCACCCAATGAGACAAGCGGAACGTGGACGGGACAGCACCTTATTGGCTGTGGGATGCCCAGATTGGGCCGGCGGTAGCTGTCCAATGAAGTGCGAAGGCTTCTCCCACCGTCGAGAGGGATACCCGGCTCTTACGTCCATCTGGCGGGGTTTTTTTGACCGGTACACGGCCCTCACCATGTTTATTTGCTGGAGTGGTCTCCACAGGGCGGGTGTGAATAGAAGGAAGGAAGCTAGGAGGTGCCCAAGCGACTGGCCTTGTGATAGTGAGCTTCATCTAGCCTCTACCCGTTGAGTTTCCAGACATGATTATATCTACGGCTGTGAAAAGCCATCCTGTTTAGCTCGCAAGACCATTGAGGCACGCAAGCCATCACATCACGTCAAGATGTAGTCTCGTCGAGATGGAACAACCTGTGTACACAGACTATTTCCAATCAACGTTTACAGTTACTCCAGGACTACGGCTGTACATGTCTAGTGATTGAATATTGTTATAGTACACAGTTCATAGTGTAATCGGTACCATGATGGCATGTGAAAATGCAGTAAAGCTGATCGTTATCAGGTTCACAATGAGAACGGAGGACATCACAGAAACTGAGTTCGTCAATGAGTGAGCTTATTTATGAGGCAGAAATAAAATGAATCAATATAACTAATTAGAAAGTTATACAGTCTAACTGAACTTCTAAAACTTTTTACGCAGGGTTGTGATAGTGAATACAACTAAAAGAACGCTGCTGTTGTTGTTGTTGGTTTGCTACCTTATCCTACAATGTCTGCAATCAACCAGTTGGACCACAGCTTGAACGACGAAAGATAAATACTCTGTTTGATCTCAGCTTTAAATTCTTCATTGTATACGTCATTCATGAACTTCCACGTGGCATCCTCCATCCGGGAGTGACAAGTTCACAAAATGACGAGGTGTGATAGAGGACGGCTAGACACGCGCGATAAGTGTCAAACACAAAAAAGTTACCATTTCAATCACACATCCTTCAGTGTCTCCAAACAGTCGGTTACAGGGTCTATTGGAATCCAACCAGGAAGACGGAAGAAATCTACTGTGCTTTTGTTTCTATCGAACCACTCCCAAATACTTGTCGGTTTACCTCAGTGTTGATTACTCCCTCGCTCCATCTAACTTGGATCGAACCACCTAAATACTGACAGTCGAATACTACTCGACGATGAATGCCTTCCACACGTACAAAGCATAAAAAAATCAAACCTTCATGGTTGTGACAGTCGTCACCAGCTTGATTACACATAGAGGTTTAATGGTCTCTTTGTACGTTTGAACTCGTCAAAAGGGTACAAGATCCGACGAATAGACACCGGCCCACAATGGATTGCGGTTTTTACACACCACACAGCTGCTTGCAGGTCGGGCTTAGATTAGCCGAAAGCTCCGATTGTGAATTCCTAAGAAAATTCACCTGATTGTGTCTGGGCAACCTGGCAATATTCCGCCCACAAGCAAATCAAGAAACGTTTTTTAATAAATATAATTGTACTATGATTTGTTTGGCAAAGTCGTGTGTAAAAAAACGTAAGCTTGAAGATCTCAAAACCATAAAGCACAATTAACCAAACGGGAGAGCAGTTTACGCGATCTTTCAATCTCAGGGAAACATTGCGTTGGGGCCAGGTGTTTCAGTCCTGAGTAAGCCTCTTGAACCCGAGAATTACAGGCGGTTACGTGCGATATTCATCATGCAACTACATAAAAAGCAGAAGTAATACACCATAACTAATTCCTGACCATCATGAATTAGAGTTGGGTGGACAGCACCCAGTCTTGGAGCATTACGTTACACTTCGAAGATGTAAAGCGTATACCAAGCAGAGTAACATAACCTATTAGTCTGCGAAGTACGCTTTGCGCATTTTCCTTACATTTAATCAAAGAATAGGGAGAGAGAAGCCTGCCAGAATCAGCTGCTTTTCTTTTGTTCAGAGACTGAATACAACATCTTACTTCTAGTTCTGTAGGGGGCTTACATGTTACCATCAACGAAGCTTCAACTGGGAATGCCGGAATAAGCGCACCGACAACAGGTCAAATGAACTGTTTGCAAAAATACTCTGTTCAGCAGTCAAGCCACTGTTCCTTCTTGTGACGCCGTGCCCACATTTATCTTAAATGGTTTCATTGGCCGCTACCCGAAAATCTCCGGTGCTGCGTATCAAGTGAAAGAGTTTGATTATTCCCTGGTGCAGCGAGGACATTCATTTAGTTGGCTGTTTCGTTTCTTCAACTTTCAAAATATTTATTAGGACTTTTCCTGCAGGCACTACTTTTTCCCATGTTGATCCTAGCAGATTGGGATCTATCGATTTCGTCCCATCAGGACTACTGAATCCCGAGAGGTATACTGTCTTTGACGAACCTCAGGCTCTCATCCACAAACAGTGTACCACCGAATGCATTGCACGTCTAATTTGACCCGCTGTTGATCTAACACACCAAGCCACAGTGCCTCTAAATCATGCCCAAGCTGTCCCTGGGAACGGTTGCAAAGAATTGAGTTGCGCGAACGATGGTGCACTAACAGAGGCACCGGCTTCTGTCGATGATTGATGGCTACAAAATTAATGGGGTGGTATCAGAACTAGTGCGTGTTTAGATTCAACGTGGGTGGTCCAATAGGATCTGAGAATTTTGTGGTAAGCCATACCAACGGGAGTTTACAGCAGTGTGATCAATTTCGGTCAAATTGTTGAACTAGAGCATCGTGTATCCGTTTAGCGAGAGCTGTCAACAGTTGGTGCTAAATGAGAGCAATCGCTGATCTGGGCAGAACTTAAGTGTTCGGTTGATATTGTCTGTTCGCTGGGTGGATAGAGCGAAACGACCTTCTAGACACTCTTCAAACGCGCTAAGTTTTCCACCCAGCGCGTTAAAATCATTTGCCAGTGCAATTATATCAGAACTTCGGCTCAGTTGCATGGGTTTGATAAGTTTGTCGTAGAATTTGTTCTTTTTGTGGGTTGGGGCTGAAGTTGGTTGGTTCATACGCTGAAAGGATGTTGCTTCCTTTCCGAACACTGGTTGAGTCACGGAGCCTCGCTGCGAATCATCGACTGGATGTGTCCAAGGGAATAGGATTGTGAGAATTAGAAGGGCGTTCTTCTTATACTTCGATTTTGTGAAAATGTGATAAGAATATATGCATGCTCAATTATCCAGAGTCATTGATCGTCTTTAAACGCGATTATTGTAATTTTTTAATGTTTGTTTTTCACGGCATAGGGCAGAAAAAAGATTGAAATGAAAGGGCTTTTGATAAGGCTCTTTCTAAACACCAGCTGCGCAGCAAGTATTCGGAAAATTTTCTTTGTTTTCACAAACGCCAGGTATGGAGACATTGAACGATTTATCTAACAGGATAACTAGCAAGAACACTAATTACCGCAATGAGGAAATTTTATTTAACACGTATTTCGTCAATCCCTGTCATGTCCCACATCACATTTGAGTAGGAAATAGATAGAAAAATGCCTCATTGAATGTGCAGTCGTAAAAAGTGCAGTGTGTTTCAGAACTAAAAAGTATGACTAATTTCATTGCAAACAAATGCAACTCACCAGCCTGACCAGTGTCGACTGTCCGATGTCGCAAATCCTTTTCCATGTCCAACTCATTCGCATAGGATTCAAGAGCTTGAGACATGATGCGCAACAGCTGTTTGATGTCGGTATCGGTGAATCGTTTACAAATACAACCGAGCACTATTATGGCTCTGGGTTGCAAAGCAGGATTATGTTGGAATGCAAACCTGAAAGGATAGGAGTGTATAAGGACCATTAGGTTATCAACTGAAGTATCGAGCGGTTGAAGGAGGCAAGTGCATTTACCAGTGTTGCTATAGATAACCGACATCGAGACAATACAATTGAAGCATTTGTAAGCTCTAAAATTATTAGATTTGGATCAGTGTTATCCTAGGACTGCAAAAAACTAACCCCCGCATAGTAGAGACCCTCACAACAAAGATACGAAATCTAAGGTTTCATTCACACCCTAAGTCAATGCCTCGAGAGTTGCTTCAGGGAGCTGTTATATCCCCACACGTATTTTAACATATACGCGTGTTATTCTACTTGTTTCTTTGGATCAGCTACATACTTTCTGAGGTGAGGGGTTGGCTTCATTATTGTAGTAGGCTAGCTATCGCTGCTAACGTGTGTGGATCTTTGTAATGATTTGAAAAAAGGGAAATAGGCCCCATAACAGAAACTACCAACCTGTTTTTCAGCCAACGATAGAGTAAATGCTTCAACAATTCAGACAGGTGTGGTCCTGAGACACAAAATTAACGCGAGTAGCGCAAAAAGGCTCAGTACGTTTTAGAACCGACTTGTTTTCAGTGTTATATGACTGTAATAAGGGACTGAGTTAGATTCAAAAGTGAAGAATTCGATAACTGACTAAACAGGTGTTGCTTATGTTTCCTAGAGGGTACGCTTTGATGAACCAAGAGTACCAAAAGGATTTTTGGTTAGATGGTTGAAAAAGAACAAGCTATAATGTGTTGAACACAATTATCCCAACTATCGGACTCGGTCGTAGTAAGCGAGTTGCACTCCTGATCTGGAATTCCAGAGTTCCATCCAGATTGTAACTGGAAACTTTAAATAAAATATGAGTATTAATAATAGGAGTAATAATGTGTTTGTACCTGTTGCACTTCGATAATTTCACAGCTACCCCACTGGGAATACGTACCGTTTTGTCCTAAAAATCAGCAACTGAAAGCATGAAACATTCTCCATACACCCGAAAGACAGATCGCTAACCAAAAGACGGATACCAACAGCGGAGAATAGAAGTGGTTACTGGTTTAAAAAACTAAATGAACTGGCAGAGCCACAGAACAGAAATAAACATATAGTGGTTAGTACTAAAACAATCGTCAAAAAATAAAAACTCAAGAGTAAGTATAAAACATTTGTAAAAACCACAGCGAATGAAAGGCAATCAAGTTTGGTAATAAAAATGGAAAAAAGTACGCACGTGTGACTACTGTAGAGCTTTGGGAAACGTAGATCTTGGTAGAAATAAAATGAAACAGCAGGGTGAAATGAACACAAGCGAGATCAAGAATAAACGCAATTAAAAGAGGGTTAGCAAGAGGAACCTACTTTCTAGCCAAGTGAGTCCACTGATCTAACCAATGTGTAAATTCCGGCACTTCTTTGATGACCAAACTCATGATTTCCAACAGAGTATCCGTGAGGAACTCCAGCGAATTCAAACTTAAACGTTCGGGTTTGTCTAAACCTTCTGTGGTTACGGTCATTTGAGTCGGGGTGTTTGGTACAAGCCCTAAAGCGGGCGAGCACGCAGGATAGCCTGGTTGAAGAGAGGGACCGGTCTGACTAAGCATACCAGATGTGGAAGCTACGCCGGGCACTTCTACCGATGCAGTGCGGGCGTAAATATGAGCACTATGCACTGTGGAACTTTCCGCATTGTTCATGCGATAGTGACTCAAGCCACTGCGCAGGGATGGAGTACCGAGACCGGAGTACGAGCCGGCAGCAGAAATTGTACTGGTTGGCCCGAATGCACTGTGACGGACCACGTGATGAGGCGAGCCGAATGAGGTAGCAGACACGGGATCGTCCATGATTTGGTCACAAGCGTCCGACTCGATATGTTTGTTTGTCATGCCAGGTGAATCTTCATCTACCAAAACGATTGCTGGTGGTCCTACGGGGACTGGAGATGTTTTTTTACGTAGATCGGATCCACCGTAGTCCACCTGACCAGTGCTTAACAATGTACCTGTAGTCCTGTTAATTCCATCAGTTCCTGGACCCGAAAGACCAGAGCCACCACCAGTGCTGCTACTACAATTACTACTGATGCTTCCACTACTGCCCTGTGTAGCCAGGATGGATTGTGGACCACAGGCCATAGTTCCGGATGCACTGGTAACTGTGATATGACCCAAAGGGATGGCGACCGGAGGTGCAACTGTTCCACCCACAATTAATCCGGATCGTTCACCAGGTCGAAAATGGGGAAATGCACTGATTGGAGCACATTTGCAGTGTTGAATTCCGAATACTTCGTAAAACTCAGGTAGCGTAAACTCGGCCAACAGTTGACGTAATTGTTGCACAGTTTGTTCTGCGGACAGGATAAATAGCAGAGTACAGATGATTAGAATTCAACTTCATTCAAAACGTAACCAACCACATAGAATAGACAAATGGAGGAGACACATGGAGGATGAAGTGTGAATACAAATCAGCGAATCAGTCTCTTAACAGATGCGTCAAAGAAGACAGTTTAGGGCATATAAATGCGTATCAAATATCTCACACAGTTCGGTAATCGATTTGCTGTGTTTCTAAAAAAATGAAATTTGATACATCACTCAATGATGGTTTTCGTTCTAAAAGAAAAACAACAATCCAACTGGAAAAGAAAAGAGTAGAGGTCCTAGTTTAACTAATGTCCATGACCCAAGTTGCTAAATGATCAGATACCTAAGAAGAGCAGACATGAAACAGATCACCAAGATTCCACAAAATATGATAAGAAGTTTAAAGAAGTAGGCTCATCTTAGAACAAGCACACATGACCCTCAACCGGCTCGAAATCAATACATTCCAGGTATAGCAGAAGATGATTTATTGTAAAACTTATTATCGTAGAGAATTTAGAAGTTCAACTACTTGTCTTCGTGATTTAAGCAAAGCAATTTTTAATTTCAAATGTTATACTCACTAAAAAAGAATGTATTTGAAGAACTCAGTGAACGGCTATTCGCCGCACTACGTGACCTGCCCATGTCTCACAGGCCACGTTCCAGCTTCGGATGATGACGCCTCTGCCGCCCTACTCAGTGAAAACAAAGAGATTGAAAAAACCGAAATCCCCTTAACTACATTCTCTGATGGGTCAACAAACTGAGGATCGCGGATTACGGGTATGATACTGTTTGTAATTTATATTTTATATTTTTAATATAAATAAATGCTAAAAGACAGTACGCTAATTAAAGTGATATGATATAAGATGTGATATATATATATAAGTGATGAACTGAAAGAAAAACAAAACCATAGCGGAACTCGAACAGTGATGCAATTTGCTCCCTATTGAAACAGAATGTCGATAAAATAGATCACAGAACACTGAATCCAATGAGATAGTGAAGAGTGTAGATGAGTCGATTGGGGAGAATTTGGTTTGCCAAGGCTCAATGGTTTATCTAATGAGAGTCAAGGTGTTAATCATCGCTGAGAATTCATGAATCAGGAACTGAGCTCACTAAACGCTTTCAAGGGGGATCGAACTTGGAAACAGAGCTGTTAATCAACATGCTATTTAGGCTTCCTAAATCGGTTTCCTTCTTGCTAACAGCGAATGGTGTGAGGAGAATACGTCACAACGGTTGAATTAAATGGACTGAAGCGGCCACTGATTAAACACCTCTTCACAGGACGGGCGAAGTCAGGGTGGGATGCTAACACGATCCAGTGGGAAACTTAAGTCTGATGAGTATTGATTTGTTTACGTCAAATTCTAGAATACAAATGGAGAATGAGCATAAGGATTGTACTTCTCCCTGCAGCTGCATAATAATCGTATCAGTTTAAATAAGAGGAAGAATCGAGAAAGCCGCATCAAAGACGAATTTATTTATCTCATTGCTAAAATGCTCTCTGTCGGGTGAACGAAAGAATAATAGTAATAACAAACGGAGTGGAGCCGTATTCCTCAAATAGAATATCTATCAAATCAAAATTTCCACGCCACAGTAACTCACCTGAGAGATGCTTTGCTAATGCTGAGGTACACAATGAATGAATCACATTGATTACGAAACCATGCATAGAAGCGCGAAGGGATAGAGGACCCGTACATACCAAAAGGGTAGCGATGTGAAACAAACGTGGCAGATGTGTCCGAACTGGAGAAGAAAATGAAAGAGAAAGAACGATAATTAGATGTACGTTATAATAAAATATTTCGCATGACAAGGAAACAGCGTAACACAATAGTAAACGGAGTACTTACTATCCAGGCAATTGTTGAAGGACAGCATAAGAAGATATCGGAGCATAGGGGCAATTTCTGGCCAAAGTGGATGGTGTTCAACGAGAGTAGTTGGTGCTGAACAAGTTTTTTCAATGAACTGAAATAGAAGCAATAGCTTCGCTTAAAATAGTGTATTGCTTTGTTTAAAAACAAACGCTCCACGGAAATAGAATCAGACAATCCGCCAGAATCGGTGCCCAAAGTGTGACAAAATCAGTGTGAGCACGGGTCTTCAATCGACACTAGAAGACCAACTGGTTATGAAAANATGATATGGTGTGTCGTAATGAATAAATATACACCTGGCTAGTTCTTTTTACATAGATTCCCGAGGTATAGATTTTTTCGCCTAATCATGAATGAGATGATTGTTGAGAAATACTATGATAAGAAAAGAACCAACGGCGTTGCATAGCAAGTGACCGAATTTATGTGAATTTCGGCTCTCCAAAGTCGTTGATTCATTATATTATATCAAAAGCATCCATTCACATGCGTACGTGAAATATCCTTCTTTACATAACAGTTTGTCATAAGTAATCACCTGGTTTGACCACAGCAATACTCACAAAAGACTCATATCAAAACAATTATCAAACCGATAATACAAAATCATTTTCAGTGAAACATACTCGGCACAATTTAGATAGAACCTTCTTTGAAACTAGTTGAACATTAGCTGCAGCAAGAGCCACGGAGGTGTCGGCCATGATCTCGGCTTGCAAACTTCCCAAACCACAGCTAACGGAACGCTGAATAAAGCTGTCCAAGACAAGACCAAGTAGCTGGGGTACTTGACCCAAGTTCCCCCAAATTTTGGTTTGGATAGACGGATACATCTGCTCTTCCTCGATTGTAAGCGTAATCAACTTGTCAATAATTGCATGAACCTGAAGAAAACAAAAGAAACAAACGATGAATATCATGAAAAAGATGAAAGTATGAACAAAACCTTAAGAGCATCACAAAAATTTAACCACTGGACAAAGTAGTGGAAATTCAAAGGTTATTTTCGTCACAAGAATGAACCATACTGAATGCTACAGCTACCACGAATAGGTTATAACAACAATGAAAAACACTGCTTGTTGTTCAGCATTTTCACTCACCAGATCCCGAAATCTGTTGATCTGATTGCAGAACGAGCACCGAAGCAAGAGGTAAAGCACAATCAGCAATCAAAGCAAACACCCCAAATGAGAGTCGTAGTGTTGTGAGGTGCTACTCAAATTTGTGAGTAGTATGTAAAAATAGTGCGGTCGGCGGTTTCCTTCGAAGATCAAAAATTAACAAGACCACTGAGGGCGAATTGCTGTGTCCTAAAGAATAACTACGGACTGCTCCATTCATTACCCGGTGTGTTGCGGGGAATTGCGATGACATGTTTCAAATGAGATATCTGTTATATGTATGCCAAATTATTGATATCCCAAATTTTATATGCAATAAACAACTTTCCTCGACCAGGCATCGCATTGTGGAATTGTAACAGTAGGATGACTAACGATAATTAGGAACCTCAATTCTACCTGAACATTACCAATTAAGGAGCAAATAATGTACCCGCGGGCCAAAAGCTATGCTACTTAACTACTGATACAACAGGAAACCACGGCCTAGGAGCACTGAAGAATTATTTCAATCAAACGATGAAAACAAACAGAACAATGAAATCGGGTTAAGAAACAACCTAACAACAGGGAAAGCAAAGAGCAAAAAATGGAGGTGCCACTCACTTTTTGTCTTTTGGCATCATCTGATCGACAAAATCGTGTCAAATTGCGTAACCATGGCGTTATGTATTCCAAACACAAATGTTTCATCTCGATGCTTGAACGACTGAAACCTTGAATACACTCTTCGAGAAATTCCAGGGTCAAATGGGGCTCGAGTTGAGCCAAACGCTTGCTGATCTCAGAGATGAACAACGTGTTATTTCCGGGAATGCATAGACCCTTGGTTTCCAACAACTGCCCCTCAATTTTTAAATTGAAAGTCTGCGTAAGGGCACACAATAGATTGTAGGCAGCCGATCTGAGACTGGGATCAGAGCTGCCAAGATTTAACAGAGCCTGCAAATTACAAAAGAAGCGACACACACTCAGTGAATGACCAGGTCACGAGAAACCAAACAAATAAAAAAAGTATAACATGACGCAGTCGCGCATAGGGTTGCAACCGCTCAGCACGAATCTCGTGTGTGTTACAACGTTGAAACTGTGCATGACGTAACATCGCACTTGAAGGCCATCACCTGTTTATTAGGTTCTGTTTATAATGTAATTTACCGTAACATGAGAAAGAAATACACGTTTTAATGATAGTAGTCGGAGGAGTGTTCAGTTAGAAAAATGAAACGGAGCAAGCCACAGAACTCACAATGTTTAACAATGTCCCGGGAACGTCTCTGGGTCTTATCTTGGTGTGCATTGCATGTGTATCCGGTTGGGAGAGAGCCCACCGGGTACGAATGTGAATGATTGCTTGAACGATGGAATCACATGCATCGTGAATGAAGGATAAAGGTCCGTTGTCGTTCGAGATGGTCAAGGTGAACTGATTGTCGTCAACCAGACACACCTAAAACAAACATCAAACCGGATACACATCAGAAAGGATGCGCCAAAATGACGCTGGGCATCAGGATTATGTATATTTTGCCTTTATGATCAGTAAGCCATTGTTCGCTATGGATTGAATGGAAAATAATGAAATTTTTGTCCCTTGCAATTCGCACTGGTCCCAGACGGAATGACATAAACAATAAGTTAAGCTGCGCGAGGATGATCGCCTCCGTTTGTCAAAATCAATTTTGGAAGTTGGAACAAATGGAAAAATATCCAGGTTGAATGAAATATTATGGTTCAGATTTAGCAAAAAATACTTAATCAAATTGAAGGTTCTTTGTTCTCACCGTATCTTTGTCTGCATACATAAGCGATTAACCTACTGTAATTTTCCCGCTCACGTTTTAAGATATGCAGATAATGGAACAATGTGCTCAGATGTTGACAAAGTACTGAAAATAGGTGCTTGCACTAAAGATGTCACCCCGGTTGGCGGTGGTGACCAAGTGGTTAGGTCACCAACTAGTGACCTGGGTGTCCCGGGTTCAAGTCACTTCACCGCCGTCCGTCTTCCCTATATTTGTATTTTACCCAGGCAGCCTTTGTATGGCCGCAGCCCCTTCCCTGCAAGTTGACTGTACATTTGTATACTCAATAAATAGAAAAAGGGAGTAAAAAGACATTTTTTGGTGATGAAACGTTTGCAAATAAATTGCCAAGCTCGGCGAACAGGCGAAATGGAATTTAGTGCTAAGATGTGTCTGATCTTTGATAGTTCCACACAGTTTTCGAGAAGTTGACTCAAAATCTCATCTTTCCATGCCAATTTGAACTCATCATTAACCAAATGTATGGGCTGTCTTTTCAGCCCCTCACACACTATTTTCCCAGTGAGTGATGTAAAAATAAATGACGAGCCTTTAACCAGAGTGAACTCCAACAAGTCTTTAGGGATGTGAAAACAATCTTAGGCAGTTCCGAATGCCACCAAGGGGTATTTCCAGTGCGTTTTCCCATTTTACCTTATTTTTTTCCGTCGTCGTCCCCAATCACTTGGAAAAAGACCGAGGGCTGTTCAGCAGCGGTCCATCAATCATGTTTCTCTAAGTCCAGTGAACGATTTGATCGGAAAACTCACCGATCAGTACATATTATCGTATGTAAACTTTTCCCACGGAATTCTTGATGACTCTTCGCACTCACTGTATGATGAGCGGTCTCTCCGTCGTTCTTGTCATGTTATGGCCTCTGTTTTCCGACCTATTTCTCCTGCATTAACGCATACAAGAACTGTCGCGTATGTGGCATGCGTTTTAAGGAACAAACACAGAGTTGACAATGAATTAGTTTTATAACCAATTGTTTTTCTCCTTGGTTTGACGGTTACTATATACATTTCGATTGAAATTTAGAGGTTTACTATTGCACAGATCACGTCAAATACAAGTCAAGTGATATTTGAGATAATTGCTTAGAAATAAATATCTGCCACCTGTGAACAGTTGAAATCTAAGATGATTGGGCTAGAAAATTAGTCAAAAGGGTAGAAGTGGTCGAGCGATTAAGGTAGTATTGGAATCCCACAACTGTCGCCTAACTGGTCCGTTTAATATAGACCGTGTGAAAGCCTCATCATCTTTCGTGAAAATTGTTTGTCTATCCATATTCAATAAAAGGAAACAATAAAGAATATCACCAAGTAATAGTGAACAGCACTGAAACGATCGTTTAAAACCAATTGAGAAATCAATCATGCCAGACGTTTCCCAATATGCTCCTACCTGTTAAACACATTCATTCAAAGATGTTTAACATAATTAGGCACCCCTTTTGTTAGGACGGAGCGCACAGAAGCCGTCGGGCCACGCATCGATCCGCGTCACACTACAAGTGCGTTCGCAAGGCCCAAAGGCGAATCTATTCCGGATTAGATGACTAAAGCGAATCAAACCGCTGTCGTCCGATCGATCAACCGGAGTGTCACGGACGCGATCGGATCGGTGCGTCATCACGCGTTTCTCGTACGCCCAATTTACCGCATATATTTGCACATTGTCTTGATCAATAATACACTCTGACTGTCGTTTTCTCGGCCGTGTTCTCTCTCAGTATCATTGTTGAGAGCTAGTCACTAGGAATTCGTATCGATCATACGTCTTTACAAGACATAATACCTTTTTGATGTGCTATCCCACCACGATCCACACTGTCTGCTATCATTGTTTGTATACAATGAACAAGGCAAATTTCTCAGTTTTCATATCGTTTGAATGTGTAGTTCCTATCTGTCTACTCCAAGTTTAGCCCATTTCACAATATTTATATCACCCGGATTTTCGATGACTGCATCTTACCTCCACGTCATGTGTTATCTCGGTAAAGGGCTGTTCCATATTTCCTCAGCCAAATAATTTGATCCTAACCGTACAACGTTTCAAACCACTTCAGTTAACGTCTCATCTTGTTCCGGACAGTAAGACTGAGACCTGCGTTAACCAATACCCACCTTTGGCTTTAAAGTTAATGGGTTTGATGACCCCTAGCTCCTAAATAACGCTATTCTTATACAGCCATTGCGTATGTTTTGGTGACTGTTACTTGGAATTTGCTGCTTGACGTTATGCGCCTAGCTTGTTTACTTGGGATTGGTGTATCTCTAAATTTGAAGTATACTATTTTGCGAATGTTATTGTTACAGTGTTAATAACACAGTGATATTCGCCGACGTTTCGGTTACTGCGGGTAACCTTTCTCAAGGCAGGTTTTACAATCAAATGACTCTCTACCGACATCGCTGTGTCATTAACAATATAACATTAACATTCACAATAAAACAACACATGGCGCATCGATTTTTCGATACACTCCTAACATCATTTGGTCATGATGTAGTAAAATATACTATTTTGCTTTTGAAATTATTTGCTCCGACAGTACACGTAGATTGCAGAATTCATGTTATCTGCAATAGGATCTGGGGGTTGTGTCTGCTCCTCACTCAACCACTTGGCAACGGTCTGGCACTTGCTCTATTGGAAAATGTAGAGTACAAAATAAATGACCACAGAGTGATGTTTCGAGAATAAAAATTGCGGGACAAAAGCACGTAAATAATCCGAACTATCAAAAGTGAGCACATAAATCGGGAGTACCTACTTCCTCAATTTCCGAAGCGTAGTATACGTCATTGAGGATGACTGAATGCCCAAGAACTTTGCTCTTCTCCGTCGATGTGACTTGGATCGCGTTTGTGCATACCTGTTTGGAAAATGCATTGAAGTGAATTAAAGCCCGGTTCAGAGGTGAGGTATGTGAACGGAAAATTGCACGCACGTTTGATGACCAATGAAGAAAACAAATTAATTTTACCAAAACTTGATGGAAAACGTCTTACCTTGATCGCCACCTTGGTATCCTTATGCGATAACTTCAGAGCGTTGTTAAACACACGTAAATCCTCTTCCAGTACCAGAGTTCCACCGGGTAATCGTTGCTGTTCCGGTTCAATGTACTCGTTCAGTCGAGAAGGATGATCAATGAACACTAATTTGCGTGAGCCCTAAAACATCGAATAAAACAACCAGATAGTATAGAAATATCGGAATTATCACAGGGGATTTCAAATCGGTTCATTTCGGTTTGTACAACCATTAACCCTGCATGCCCATTCGTGCGACGGTTTTGGTTGCTATCTTTCGGCTGCCCAGTTGGATGAGGAATAGGAGAAAGACAGGAATTTTGAACGCAGAGTTAAACAGGGGATTTGGAAAAAATTGGGTACGATCACATGTTTTTTTTATTGTAGCATACAATCACTAACTATCCAGAGGCACTTTAAGCCAAATAGAGCTTTCTAATTTCACACAGATTACCACATGATGACCTTAAAAATAAAGATTGGCTTTAACCATGAAGCAAAAAGCAATCAGTGATAGAATTATGGAGGTTATGGTATGGAGCATACACGTTCATCTCTATTCAAGGCGGTAGTGTATACGTGGGGAAAAAGAAGTGCTTACTTTAATCGGCGCGAAGAAACGATCGTGTATCTTGGTGTATTCACGAACCCATGAATTACAATTGTAAATGTAAGCAGCCACTAAGTGTTCGCGCAAGACCGGTCCAATAATACTGGCCCACTTGTTCAACAGGTCGTTCTGCGATAAGATAGGGTAAAAATAAAAAGTGACATAGACGAGTAGAATTCCAGAAGAATATGCAACTTATACCTCCTTGGGGAACAGGCATGGTGTCAGAGCGACAAAAATAAGGAGAAACGCAAGGGGGAAATTGAGTTGAAATTAGTTAGAAGATGAGAGGAAACTACTGAAGCCAACTTGTTTTTGTGCTTTGATTATACATCGTTTGATGTTTTTATCGCTGGTCTGTCTGCTTATTTTTATGGGACACGGAAGTTTATCAGACGGGTAGGACAGTATCTGCGCCACTGATTTCCATTTCTTTTCATATCTCTCACCGTCTGCAACTAACGACAATTCCCATCTCATGGACCCAAACCGGGAAACAAAAAGTACCAAGCGGAGCCAAATATGGAAACCAACTCCCACATAATCCTACGCCAAATCATTACCAGACTACCATATCGCTGAGAGGTCCATAAGAATCTAGAATAATGCTTCTTGAGGGTTATCAGACGATTTCCACTCCA